AGCAGATAAATAATACAGTAGTTGAATTGGCTTACTGCAGTTCTATAAAATAATAGCCGGTTTTCAATTTTTTTCTAAAATTTCACATTGAAAGAGAAGTACATCATTAATATTCATAATAAATGGTTGATAAAGACGCGATAATATAATCCTGATACTTAATTAATTCTCATCTTGATGACAATTATCCAATTATTATCATTGATAGATGCAGACTACTTGGTTGTGGTCCGCGTGACTATCGTAACCCATGGTTGGAGACTCTGGGTGAAATGGCTCATAATCGATCACAATGGCGTAGGTGTATATACCCTTTGTTTCCGCTTAAACCGTGAGATTAAAATTGCTTAATATCTTACTTTCTACCAACTAATTCCTTCTTCCTGTACTATATCCTTATACGCAATCTTTCTTCTACATACTACCACCACTGAAGTAACTACTTCTATGAATTTGCTGTTTATCTTGTTGTGCTGATGCTGTATGACAACTTGGACTGATGCCTGGTCCTACAATGCAGCTAACTGACTGATCATTTTCTAAAGCTATAGTGAAGAATAACATGTTAAGTAATCACATGAAATCGATACTACTTCTACGTAAAAAACGATGAAATTTGAGAATGAAGGATTAACAAAGTTTTATACAGTTGTGGAAAATTATAGTTCATTGTCATTCTTTCAACTACATCTATGGATGATCTCAAATGAGATGAAGTTCATTTTAACATTGATGACTTTTTTCTTCAGAAATATATGAAATGTCTAGTCAGAAGTCATCATAATTTTTATAAGCCACACTATATAAAAATATACATACAAGGTTTCTGGTGACATCTCAGTACTGTATTGAATGCCAATGTCATTCATTTGAGTTGAATAATCTTTAAAACTGTCTGATAAAACACATAGTTATAAAGTTTCACAGTTATTTCTCAACTTCTTTAACCATCTCACCGTCTTGTCATAGTATTGTGATTATAATCTGACGATTTTTGAATGCTGTCAATAGAAATTAAAGGAAAAAAGAAGTTGAACAATCTATTCTGAATCATATTGAGAGAGAAATAGTTGAGTAAAGACTGATTTAATGATAAGGAAAACATTTTACAATAATCAACTATTTGTATTCTTTGTATGTTAATCTGGATAGCTTATAACAACTAGTTTTGGATAAACGGAAATGTTACATTTAATAGGCCTATTTTTAGTGTTCATTATAACTCATATTAAAATATGAACGTGGCTGTTCAAACAATCAACGAAGAAGACAATAGTAAGCTATTTTTAATCTGAGTGATAAAAACAATCACATCAACCTTCTTAATACACAGTTGAACGTATGTAAATTAGGGAATTGGATGCGCACTGATGAGGAGTCCCATACTAGGACGAAACAGCCGTCCAGTGCTTCCAGGTTTTCCATGGTGGTCTAGCTTCAATTGACTCATGATCTCAACTGTTGAAATTACTACAATCTCCACAAAACCCCTTCTGATACAATATAACCTTTTCAGTTGGTCCTAAGATGGCTCTTATTTAGTAAATACCAAGATGTGATTAGGTATTTAAAGATTTTGAAAGTGATTAAAAGCCTGTGGTTCATTGTTATCCGAAGTTTATACTGATGGTGTCTTGGAAAACGATGAAAGCTTCATAAATGAATCACATAGCTCAGAGAATGTAATTTCAAAAAAGCCGTTTTATAGAGCTACAAACCTTCTTCCTTGTCTAGTAGTTGACAATTCACTCCGAAGACAATATCACGATGATATTGCTATTCTAAGCTAAAATTACTGTTGAGCCTTTCAAAAAACCCAAATACCATAATTAATGTACATAGTTCTTGTAGGTAGATCGAACAGTTTGATTGATACTAAAGGATAACGAATTCAAATTTTCTAGAGGTGTTTTGGTCTCTGAGATAATTAGTTAGTTATAAAACTCATCAGTAAGTACTCAGAAAAGAAACGAGTTATTATAATTACTTGATAATTGGCTAACAGCTAATTCTGTCGACCTAGAATCTGGATGGTTGTTACCCAGAATTGTATCACTAACAGTTGCATGTCTGTCTTGGTTATTGATTCTCTTCATTTGAACTTTCTTCTTGTGGGTCTTATTACTGGCTGGTAGATTTGACCGATTTCGATACTTGATTAGAATGCAAAGCTTTTAAAAATTCCCTGTATTTCTTCGTATATCATGTGTTCAGTATTTCGACGTTTTCGCAGACTAACTCATTTCCACAGTTGTCTTTAAGGGAAACTTTCGTTTCATTTTACAGGTAACTTATGTTTATGTATACATAGACGGATTCAAATTTATCTTTTAAGTATAAGGTGAATATTTTGTAACACTTCAGTTCATTGCCTTCGTACCTAAATATCATGTTTCCTGAAATTTCTTGGCGAATTCAGGATTACTTTATCCCTACTACTATCCTGTGCTTTCGACGTTTCATTCATGTAGACATTTTCACTAATAACTGTCATAGTGGTCTTCTTAATTTATACAGTTGATGTGCTAGTTTAGTCACGGATGTGCACACAATGCTTAAGTTTATATGGTAGTAATGGAGTTTACCAAATATCCCACAATGTTTGAAAGCTTGCTTAGTAATTTCCGAAACATTGTCTATTGATCTGTTACTTACATTTTTTCTGGTTGGCGTTTTTAGCGAGTTAGTCTTCTACGGGATAAGGTCGCTAACCCCATGCCCAACCCTCCTCGTTTACCCGGGCTTGGGACAGGCAGTAACTCTGGAAGAGCTACATGCGGAGTTTTATTTTTAGAAAATAATTGTTCTATAGCGTAGTAATCAAATATATCTAATAAAATCTCCGCATCAAAAAAGAATTCATTGAAAATGTCGAAGAACTCTTAAGCAATCGTTAGCTCAGTATAATTATAGCGATTTCCAGCCTTTAAGAAACCACTAATATTTTTATAATAGATTGACTAAATATATCTAAATTTACATTTTGCATAATTCCAAATACTTCCAGCATTTTTGTTAAAGAATGTAGTTGGACACTGGTAAGAAATTTCAAACTAGGATAGAATACCTGTTCAGTTCTTTTTGGTTTTCAATGATGAGCCAGCTGAATTAATTAAGCGATTAAAACTGCTCTTACCTTTATTACTTTCATGAAGCAATTGAAATAAGATATTTGCACAATTAGTCTCAGACTCAGTGGTTCGAAAATTAGACGCTCATCATGGGGCCTGGGTTCGATTTCCAGTGGTTGTCATGAGTGCGCACTGCTGAGGGACCCAAATGTGGAACGAAAAAGTTATTCGCTGAACATTGGTGTTCATCGATATTTCGGCTGAAATTGGTCGGTGTTGAATATAACCTATAAACTTAACCAGTCTCCATAAAGCAATCTCAGGGGAATTTCTAATCACATAGTCTCGTTAATTCAGTTTTACAAGTTATAATAATGAAGATGGTTTGATCATCTATTGAAGTCAGCTAACTCATCATTGAAAACCAGGGAAGACTGCAAGAGTATTCTATTCTAGTTAGAAGTTTCTTGGCAATATTCAATCACAATATAAATATCGATTCTAGGACCTTGTTTGTCAATGACCATAATAACTCTGCACCACTGAATTAGGATCGGTCGATCCACATTTTCACCTCAATTGTCCAAAAGTCATACGTTTTCTATGAGATATGAATGTTTAAGGGTCTATCCGTGACAAGTAAATGGATTAGGACTTTTAACAAAATTCATACTTTGATGAATTTCTCATATATTTTCAACGGTTATTTATGTAAATTTACTTCTTGATGTAAACTATATATATGTAGAATAACATCAAAAACTTCATGATATAAAGAAATGTATGAACAAACGTATTGTGGTATATGCTACTGACGTCAATAGATATAAGTTGTATGTATCACCAATTAAAAGTGAATTGCCTGACAGTAGAAGATCATGAAGATAGAAGAAAAGAGAATGATTGGTGTGGAAATGAAGGAACAATAAGATGATAGACAAGATTTATAACTCAGGTGGATGATAGAGTTTTGTTTTCTAAGCTGAATGGTTTGATCGTGGAGTTTTCATCATTCATCTGAATGACATCATCAGCACAAACTACAGGTAGAAGAAATAATAAAGTCTAAGATGATTGTTTGACATTTTGCAAATGAAGTATTTAATATATGGTTTTCAGATTTTGTGTTCAAATACATTCGATTATCCCTTCTTGTATTCCCGTTCACTACAATATGACTAATAGTCATAGTATCAATTAAATTTACGGTTAGTATTTATTATTTAAATAAATGAATATCACAAATTTGAATGTAAATGGAATAGTCAAATAATTTGCTAAATTGAAATTTTAAACCATCAAGATTTCTCCCCTTTCTCTCTCTCTCTCTCTCTCGAGTAATTGACTAAAAATATTCCCGCCATCGTTTTAATTTGATAAAAATAATAATGATTTTCCAGGACAACCATACTACTTATAATAACGTATACAATCACGCATTTGCCTTGACGACTATATATATATATATATATATATACATGTTACTCAGGTTCTAACAAGCTGATATCCTTGTTAAATTAATAACTGAATTATAGAATGATATTGATTCACGAGATATCTAGACTTGTTAAAAAAGAATGTTTTGACTTGTATGAAAGTATTTGAGTATGACCCAGTTCTGTCAGAAATTTGTTTTTTGTTTTTTTTCATTTTTTCTTATTCTAAGTAGTAAATATCACATAGATTACGCTTAGTTCTAGTACTAGAAAAAACAAACAAATTCGATTTGAAATTAAACATGCAAATGATTGTTAAAGCCTGTATTTTTGTTTAATGGTGATTGTGTATAACTGAATTGTTTAGTATTCATTAACAAATATACATATTATAAGAGTTTGTATAATCTTGTAGTTAAGATTTAGGATTGAGTATAGTTAAATTTTGTTAGAATATTGTCATCTTCAATGAATTTATTGACATTGTTTATAGATACAAATTTCACATAGGAGTGTATTAACTGGAATCAAAATATGAGTTCAGTTCTACAAAGAACTTACAAGTTAGATATACCTGCTTCATACTGTATTTGGACTCAAACACTTAAAACAACAAAAACATATTATTCACTAAGCTACTGTATCTAGATAGACACTATTTTATTCAAGTTGGAAAAAGCACTAAATAGGATGAAATACACCTCATCGATTTCTCTCGTAATTACAATGTAAAGACTGATCAATTGCAGTCTTCAACCTCAATGGGAAGATACAAGCCAAACAATACCAAGTGAATTCAAATTCACCCCATTGCACAAGCAAGTGGCTATCAGGACTCAGTAGCTAAGAGGATAACGCGATGGCGTTTGAAGCGAATGATAGTGGGTTCGAGTCCCAGAGTATACATCAACTCTCTGAGATGCAGGTACATTCAGCTGACGAGTCCTAAATAAGACGAAACACGCGTCCTGGATTCCACTGCTAGCCACTATCCATCATTGCTTACAAATAGCCTGTGAATTCAGGCAATATCGAGGCATACGCACAGTATGAACATATGCCAATAACATACTGATCAATTTCAGTCTTAAGCCTCAATGGGAAGATACAAGGCAAACAATACCAAGTGAATTATTATTATTATTACTGTTATTATTATTATTATTATCATTATTATTATTATTAGTCATACGCCTCGATACAACTCAAATTTATACAACCTAGACTAAATAATATCAATTATTAAGAAATATAAATGTACATATGTGAAAATTATATTTGAAATATTCTCAGCGATTGAAATTTAACTAATTCCAACGTTTCGTCCAGCTAACTTGTCTGGACTTCTTCAGGGTAATAATCAAAATCAAAATTATCAAAGAAATATATAGCTTTTAACAATCAGGATTATACTGTGTTAAACCAATCATATTTGGGTGTTGATTTTTTGTAAAATAGGATAAAATGAGTCAGTTGACTACAAATCATGTGATGAATTCAACTACATGGAAATACTTAACTGAGTAACAAATCGTATGTGTGTGAGTGTGTATGTATGTATGCATGTGTGAGAGATTGATATGAAGGAATAAATAAATAAAGTTCAAGTTCAAGGATGAAAAACTTGATAATGAAAGATCGATGTGCATGTCAAAACATAAATTGTATTGTTTAGAAACTCATTCAGTTCTTTCAATAATAATAACGATGCATGTGATATTAAAAACAGGTTTAAACAAGAGATAGGTTCCAAATTTACTTGTCAAACGGAATTTGCCAGGTAGTTGCCATTTGAATACCATCTTTTCGGTTCAGGCTGTTCTTGTTCGCCCATATATGCAGAGCTTCTGCTGTCAATCTTTCCTTATGGGTGTTAAAACCTTTCTGAAGTATTTTGGTCCCTTCAAAATTAATCTTGTGTCCTGTTTCTAACGCATGTAACGCTATCGCTGACTTATTTTCAAGTTTCTTTATATCTACCGAGGATAAATGTACATACTTTATATCCCATTTACACAAAAGTAAAAGTTGGCAATGATATAAAGGTTAATTACAATTTATATAGTTTAATTATTTCAATGTTCTAGAAGAGCAAACTAATTAATGCATAGAAAATTGATACTTTAATTTACCGTAGATAAAGGATCAAAGAGAGGCGGAATCAAAAATGTATCCACTGTTAAGTCGTTGGCGATTCATCAATTAAAAGTAATCATTTAAAATTATGAATAAAGTGATGGATACACCTTATGCAATTGTCTTTATCATTCATCATACATAAAGTCTTAAAAATTCTATTTATTTATTACTCATTTTGTCATCATAGGATAGGTAAATCAGTCAGTCAGTCAGTCAGCTACAACGTAGGATCAGGCACCTATATGCATCGGTCCAAGTTGCCATACCTCATTAGCACAACAAGATAAACACCGAATTCATAGCAGTAGTTACTTCAATGGTAGTAATATATAAAAGAAAGATTGCATATAAGGATAGCAAAGAAAGAATTGGGGAATTATGTTACAAACTATGGTGTTTCTGTTTGAGTTTTCTAGTATTTAGCATTATGATAACTTGTGATTGTGTAATGACTATTCAGTCCAAACAAATCTAAAACAGGTAGGTTCTGAAATTCTATTTTGTACAACTAATTAATGAATATTGATATTGATATGATAATGCAAGTTAACAGTATTTTTTTAAATGTACAAATTTAGTTTCAGATTCAGATTTATGTAGTAAGGACAGAAGGCCTACGGCCTATGTTATGCCTTTTCTAGTATGCTTCTATGAGTGTCCAGTATTCTCTTGGATGTGTCAATTAAAGGTGCGGACACCATTGCTTTGGGTAACAGGTTCCAAGAATTGATGACTCGGTGTGAAAACGTGTATGCCACGGGTATTTTGTTCGTTCTTAGCATTCCTACTCACCTGCTACGTCCTCTGAAATGTCCCGATCCAATGGGAAGAAAGAAAGAGAATATATTAGGTTCAAAATCATTTCTTAGTATTATATACATCAAAATTAGATCACCTCTTAGTATGAGATATAATAGAGTAAAGAATTATAGCTTTTCAAGCCACTCTTTGTATGACAGACCCCGGAGTTATGGAATTTCACGGGTACCTGCCCTTTATACTTCTTCCAGGGTATCCGAGTTACCTTTTAAACAGGGGCTTACAAACTGAACGCAGTTCTCAAGCCTAGTTCTCGCTAAGGTTGTGTATACTGTAGTGAACATGGCAGTATCTAAATTACTGAATGTTCGTCTTAAAGCCCATAGGGTTCTGAACGTCTTAGCTGTGGTCTTAAGGTCGTGACTCACTGTCACCTCAAGATCCTTATTAGGCCGGACCACGGGTACAGGCACTTCCCCTATGCTGTACCTATTCACCTTTGTATCCCCAAAGTGCATGTAGACGCACTTTACCGCGTTGATAGGCATCAGTCACTCTTTAGACTAATTAATCACTTTATTTAAGTCTGCCTGAATTGTACATGCATCTGCGTCTCCAGTTATTACTCGCCGGATTTTTACATCGTCAGCGTATAATAACATCTTGAACTGTACTATGCTTGGGAGATCATTTACATACAGTACAAAAAGTAAAGGACCTAGGATAGAACCTTGAAACACTTTATCAATTACTGATTTCTAAGTGGAGCACTTGGAATTTATTCTTACTTTCTGTCTACAACCTACTAGGAATCTCCTGATAGTGATAAATTCAACAAAATGAAATGAACTTGGATTCATTTGTTTGAGAATTATTTTTATTGTCATTGAAATATCAACATTGTATCCACTATTAGCCAAATGACAGATACTTTCTCTGAAGAAGATATAGTTTCTTTTTAGTCTCAACTTTTGAAATATATACAACGAGTATATTTCCAATTTGGACTGAAACATTCCTATTTAGATTATGTGCTTCATAAGCGGTTACCCAACTTTGATGTATCATGATAGATAAAGCTTCACTATGTGGGATATCTGATGTTTGATTTGAATTTCGGTATGTGGCAATGAACAAATTGGTCATATACATTCAACTAGTGAGTTTGAAGTTTACTGATAGAGAACTTCTAAATATGAATTGAAACTGTATTTATGTAGCTCAATATTCCGAATGAATGAAATTGTTAAGAGGATAATCTAGAATTATTTCGCAGATATATATACAATTTAGTTCATAAAGAGAATGTAATCAGATAGTTCCCAATACTAAAATGTTATAAAAATAGAATGCAATACAAACCGAACTTTACTAGACAAATCCTCAGGAACCTGATAATATCGGTATAGAGTTGTGGAGATTGTTGAGCTTTTGATTGAGATCATGAATCGGTCAATGTTAGATCACCATAGGCAACCTGGAACCATTGTACGGTTGTTTCGTCCTAGTGTGTGACACCCCAGCAGTGCGCATCCACGATCCCACACACAGGATTCGAACCCAGGACCTTTGATCTCGTGCACGAACACTTAATCTCTAGACCATTTAGCCGAGACTAAACAGTGTTAATGCCTAACTTCAACCAACCTAACATCTTCCATTGTCTTCAGTGGGTAACTTCCGTCCAGTTCTTCTAGGTTTTCAATGGTCCTTTAATATTAATTGGGTCATATTCTTAATCATAACCTGATATTATTAAATGCTTATACTCCACTGGTTAGAAATTCCTTCTCAATTCTTAGTATTAATTCTTTTGGATACTGAAGATCCAAACCTGACTGTTATGAACGGGGAATTAAGAAGCCCAGACAATTACGAAAGCTATTTTCTTGGGACGTTATTGCATTTTATTCAAAACCTGTAAAACACTTATATTTATTTTTGTCCCTATCTTATTCTACATAACACGAGCTTTCGTTCTATGTATCACTCACTAGCATACCCTTTTTTGTTCCAAAAATATTGTAATTTAAACATAATATTTTGCACTGTATTTTCTACCCTAATTCCCTGTTTCGGGCATAACTGTATTTTTCCAAATTATCGTACGTCGTGGTCAAGATATTCATTTATTTATTCATGTACATTTTTGTACTAATTCGAATTCAGAGAATCCAGAGTTTAGTGTTCCAACTGTCTTGCCTTCTTTCACTCGCGTGCTTGCCAACCAATCAGGATTTAGAATAGTTCTCTCTACCCCATCTCGAACTCACGCGTATTAGTCTCAAGGTTAAGCCACTCAGCCTAACGCGTCAAGGTCATAATTTAGACTAGACAGACCAAGGTCAAGTCATAATAAGTATCACGGGGTAAAGGCGATTCAAGGTCATAACACTGACATTTCATCAAAAAATTAACCTTGTGAGTTGATTTAGTAATATCTTTCAATGGGTTTTTTATATAAAATCCTATAGCTACATTGTTCAATTAACGTGGACTATTAACTAAATAGAACAAATCTGACATCAAAATTAATTGCAATATTTACATAATTAACCCAGTAGTTTGAATAGGAAACAGTGATAAAAACCCCATTTCTAATTTAATAATTTCCATAAAAGTTGGATTCATAAGTCAATTGTACCTAGATCACCATGGAAAACCTGAAATCATTGGACAGTCGTTCCCTCCTAGTATGGGAATTCTATGCAGTGCGCATCCACGGCCCCGCCCCCCGAGATTCAAACACAGGACCTGCGGGTTTCGAGCGCGAACGCTTAGCCTTCAGAACACCGAGTCGACGCACAGCGGTGTTAATCTCCAACTTCTAATCAATCTACGAAATTGTGAGATCGTGGATGTGCACTGTTAAGGAGTTACATGGTGGTTGGGGATAGTCAACAGGAAACCCTGGACACGGGTTCCGTGCTACTTGGCACTCGTCAGCATGATGTACCTGTAATCTAGAGGGAACTGGTGCCCACTGATGGATTCAATCCCGTGTTACCCAGCTTCACGATCAGAGACATCCAGGGTCCGGGATTTCCTGTCAGCTACCTCCAACCACTATCTAATCTCAACATAGTGCATGCAGTGTTGAGTCACCTAGACTGGTGGCCACATTTCAACTTGGTCAACAGCATTCGATCTGCACTGATAAGGATTTGACACACATGACATTAGTCACCACCCCAGTGATTAATCAATTGTGACTGGTAAGGAGTCCTATACTAGGACGAAACGACCGTCCAGTGCTTTCAGTTTTTTCATGTTAGTCTAGCTTCAATTGATTCATGAATTCAACTATTCACAAAACCTCTCTCTTTCTCTGATTACAATTTCCATAAAAATTATAAATGAACTAATTTTACTACTTTCGACCAGTGTAGCAGCAGCCTCAGCAGCAGTAGGTCTCAATATACACAAAGGGAAAAGCAAGATTCTCAGATACAACACAGCATGTACCAATCCAATCACAATTGACGGAGAAGATTTGGAAGATGTAAAAACCTTTACATATCTGGGCAGTATCATTGATGAACACGGTGGATCTGATGCACATGTGAAGGCGCGGATCGGCAAAGCAAGAACAGCATATTTACAACTGAAGAACATCTGGAACTCAAAGCAACTGTCAACCAACACTAAGGTCAGGATTTTCAATACAAATGTCAAGACAGTTCTACTGTATGGGGCGGAAACCTGGAGAACTACGAAAGCCATCATCCAGAAGATATAGGTGTTTATTAACAGTTGTCTATGCAAAATACTTCGGATCCGTTGGCCGGACACTATTAATAACAACCTACTGTGGGAGAGAACAAACCCAATTTTAGTGGAGGAAGAAATCAGGAAGAAGCGCTGGAAGTGGATAGGACACACATTGAGGGAAGCACCTAACTGCGTCACAAAACAAACCCTCACATAAAATAGAATGAAATGTGAAATGGGTATGACATAAGTATGCACGCACACATACCTACGCACACACACACATACATAAATATATATACAATGAACTACAAAGGAAATAAGAGATTTATTTTATTTTGTTTTTCACTGATGACGTAAAACTAGTGTTTTTTTCACTTTATAATCATTAATTAGAAACAGTCGATTTATTACAATCAATTTGGATAATAATAATAATAATAACGTCAATGTGAATAAGATACGGCAACACAATACACCATTATAATGAAGAGGAAAATAATCAGTCAGAAGATGTGGTTCATCAAAATGAAAGATGAAGGATATTACGTAATTTTGAAATCATAATAATAAATTAGGCGAGTATATTAATGTATCGTTTCATTATTGATATATATTGATTAGATACATGTTAACAATTGGAATCAAATTTTGTACTTTAAAGTGGTCTGCTTATATATTTAAACTACCTAATTCCTGACATCTAGATATTTCAACAAGTTATCTAATTTTATTTGTTTTAATACATCATTATGGTTCTTAATGGAATAACCTCCGTCTGGAGTCCCTCCGGGGGCTACTGCCGGTCCCAAGCCCGGATAAGGGAGGAGGGTTGGGCATGGGGTTAGCGACCTCATCTCGTAGAAAACTAACTCCCTAAAAAAACGCTAACCAGAAAAATTAATCGAATAACCTATTTCGGTACGTTTCTGAAAAGTGTATAACCTTTCATTGTAAAAGTTACAATAGGCTCAATCATAGATATCGTTGTAGTTGGCAATATGCCAAGAAAAGAATATACATTACTGAACTACTAATATGTAACTGGTGACCAATCAATGTTTATCGTAAGGAAACTTGTTGAAATACATTGTGATGAGAATTCTATATTATGCCAAAAGTATAATATTGAATAAAGCTAATAATAATAATATTTCTAGTTTAAATGGATACTAAAAACTTAAATCAAATACACAGGAATCTGAAATATTAAGTAATTTTATTTATTAGGTTAATGTTCATCTGACATGATATTCATTATTTGTTGTTATTGTTTTAAATAAAAATGGATTGATATTGAAGAAAATTTTCACACTTTCATCATTAACGATAATATTTATTAGTGGCTTGTAGTAGAATCCAGATTGACGCGCATTTCTCCCAATTTGGCATTCGTCAGATGGATGTGTCCGACGTCTCACAGTTGATGTTCACTCGAGCACTAGAACACAGTAGCATTCGCTTCCAACACCATCACCTTATAGACTTACCTACTGAGTCCTCATAGCCACTTGCTTGCGCAATGGGGTGAAGTTTAAATTCACTTGGTATTGAACATCAACTGTAAGATTCAGGGACATCCAAATAAGTAGTCCCAAATTATATGAAACGTGTGTCAAATTGGATTCCACTGCTAGCCACTATCCATCTTTACTTAGAATGCTTGTGAATTAAGGTAATGTTGAGGCAATACGCACAGTATGCACATATGCCAATAAGAGATTGATCAATGGCAGTCCTAAACATCAATAGAAGATTTAAGTAAACAATACTAAATGATGATGCTTATTATTTTTAGCTTAAGCAACTCATTACATACTGCAGATCTAAAAACTTATTTTAAAAAAAGAACAGGTAACTTATATGTGAAAATTATTTCCTTGGTGATTTTGATATTGATTATTACCCTGAAGAAGTCTACACAAGTTTGCTTGACGAAACGATGGAGTTATTTAAATTTCAATCGTTGAGATTACTTCAAATATAATTTTTATACTCGGCCTCCAATTTTTGTCTAACTAGTCTAACAAGTAACTTAATTGACTGAATATTGGAAATACAAATGTGTAGATAGTTTTCATTTAAGAATTCTATGATTGCCCTTAATATTGAGTCACGTTAAACTCAGAATCAGCAACACAGATGGGTTTAAGTTTTATGATTTACATTACTGACAACTGACCTTAATTAACCGACTATCTAGAATTAATAAGCATTGAATATGTAATTTCGTTTTAGTATGGGACTTAAATGAAATTCCAATGATTGTCTAACTGTGGTCAGTCTGTGATGTAAGCTATAAGCTTATAATATTTTCATTTGCTCAAATGATAGTTTGTAAGACTGATTAACAAAACATTTAATAAAACTGAATAAATAAAACTACTCTTGATATAAAATTAAAATTTCCTATTGATTAAGATCTTGAACTGATTTACGTTAGACCACCGTGGAAAACCTGTGAGCACTGGACGTCCGTTTCGTCGTACTGTGTGTTTCCTCAGTAGTGTGCACCAACGATCCCGCTCTCGGGACTCGAACCCAACGCCTTAAGTCTCTCGTGCGAACAATTAACCTACTTAACCACTAAGTTGGCATCCAACGGTGTTAATGTCTAACCTCAACCAATCCACGAAATCGCGCGACCATCTCCCATTGTCTGAGGTAGATACATGTTTCTACCCGACATGGGATAACCCCACTCGTCACGGCTTCTCACCAGAACTCCGAGAATTCCCTCACGAAGTTAGTCACTAGTGAGTACATGGTAATTATCAGTATAGAGTTGTGGAGATTATTAAGTTGGCGATTAAGATGCATACGGGTTATGTATATATATACAGAGAGAGAAAGAAAGAAAGAGCCAAAATAGTTTAGTGTATAATAAACACCATTATGATTATTTATTTAGATAGTCTTCTTCATTTTTATTATCTTAACATGAGTTTCACTATTTCTATGTTTCATTCGTTTATCAACCCTTTTATGAAAATAGATTGTAGTATTAATGATAAGTAAATAAATAAGTAGTAAAAAGAAAAAAAGGCAAACTAATTTTTCATGTTTTGTTCATCTATGAAATGAGAAAAGAGAGAAGTAGCATACTAATGTGTATATTTAGCAAAGTTATTTTGGATTGTGTTTTTGATTGGCTTTTGACTTATAGGTAGATAGATAATAATAATAATATTGACAAATAAAAGCCTTTTTATCCATAAAAATAGTTTCGAAGTCGATTTTATTCAGATATATTTAGGGAGTTTTAATGTCAGGGTGCAACTCTCCTATAAGAAGAAGCAAATAAAGGGAAAAAAATAATAAATTTATAAGCAGAATTGGATAATAGCTAGCAGTTATAACCAGGTGGCGTACCTCGCCCTATTTAGTCCTCGTCAGCTGGATATACCTACCTCATTAGTGTTTATGATCACATTGAGACTCGAACCCAGTACTTTTCGCTTCAAACGCCTAATACGTTATC